TTTTTTGTAAATTTTGATACATTTAGATATATTGTTCTTTATTTCATAAACGGTTTCATATTTTAATTTATAATTTCTGCAATGATTTAAACTGATGATGGATAGTTCTTTATGAATAGAATATGGTTGGAAAATTACCATAAAATTTCTTGTTTCTACCAAAACGCTTTTAATATTCTGCGATGGAATGGGATAGTTCTTATGAAAATTATATTATGGTACTGGAAATGGCTTCTTGTTTGCTTAAGAATTATAACCAGATAGTGAAGCTCTTACAAAAAATTTTATCTGATTAATATAATTTATGCCTTTTTTTAATGAAATGGCTGTTGTATATAATGATTGTAGTTGTTTAAGAGGTATGTTATATTTTCCCATGAAACCATTATGGCATACTAAAATTCATTTGATAAGTTTAATTTATTTTTGGTTGTTGGGTATTATATTTCTATGCAAATACATTATGGTATATTGATGATTATCGTCAAACTCCTAATATTTTTACTCTACTTTCGACCATTTTTGGCTAACAAAAACTGATAACAATGTACATTAGCCCCAATAATGGATAAGCATGATATCAAAACGTACTCATAAATTCTCGGTGGTTTCATATAACACTGAGAAATCCTTAATAAACCACTTTTATCTGTTGATTATCTAACCAAATAAATAGCATCTGTTCCTCCCAAATTTCCACAAATAATTTTTCAAGGTTTTTTTATATGCTATATCTCTATAGTTTCTGTTGATCATGTAACTTAAAAAGAAATATCTGTTACAATAATTTTTGAAAGGACAATATTTCCATCAATCTTCTTGACTGACAAGAAAATATGTAGATAATGTGTGGAGTTATTATAGCATAGGGAAAAACATGACACCAATTTTACAACAAATCTGAAATTTTGTTTTGTGAGTCTTTGGTTAAACTAAATGCTATAATTTATTTAGGATGAAATAATTCTTTGGCATAATGTAATTCATATCATCTATGTTGCTACAATTCTGTTTCAATACAAGACCATCATATCAGTAAGATTTCGTATGTGGAGACTTGGTTTCTAATCTTTGTGTAATATAATACAGGAGAAGCTCGTACTGTGAATTCGTAAGTATAATTTATTCTTCTATTAGATTGGAATGGACTCGGTGTTTTCATATAGAATGTTTCATATTCAAAGTGTTAGTTCGGTGTTTCATATTCAAAGATGTTGAAGTTCATACAAATGTAATTAACTTAATAGAATTTTTGGTTCAGATATAAAGTTATTAATTAAAAAAAGCATTAGAAAACTGATTATTTTTAAAATTGATATATTTAAATGCTTTTGTTCATATAAAAACAACAATAAACACATTTCTAAATAATAAGATTATTAAGAAAATTTGGAACATTTATAAAGGTTTGCAAGGACAACATGATCGATTTTGTTATAAATCACATGGTTTTGACATGTTTTGAGTATGCTCCTGCCAGATTGGTAGAAGCCTGGTGATCCTGTTATGAACAAATCTTAACAGATAAAGATATAACATGTGAATATAGAATCTAAAGAAAAGGTAAGGTTAGATTAGGCTATTTGAATATGGCTAAGCACATTGGTTATCAGCCTGAAGAAGAAGAATGCCTTTATGAAGAACTTTATAGGGAAAAACTGGTTCGTATTCACAAAACACATGCAAAAAATAATAAAAACTAAAATAATAATAATTAAAATAATAAAACTGCACAGCCAGCTTGTTCACCAGGATTTGAGCTGAGATTAAACTACCAGTATTGAGTTGTTTTAAACCACTTGTAGGACAAAACTAAAGAAAATGCTTGTAATATCATGTAATCAAAAGTTAACTGCATGTTATATGCCAGGAATTGCTTTCTCAAGTACTGAGGTAGGTAATACTTAATCTGCTTTTTTTTTTTTTTTTTTTGAAATGTTTGGTCATGGTATTATTCATTGCATGTATTTTCTATAATACATACAGAATATTAATAGTTCTATAACAAGTGTCTTTTTTTCATTTTTAAGTGCTTTGCTTGTTGATATTCTCAAAATTGCATTTGATGATTAGTGCTATCATGTGTACAGAGTAGCTATAAATGACAATATGATGCATAATTCTAAAGTAACATCAGTTTGGCGCCCCTTGGATCTGCAATATGTGTGTATATAAATACAATAGATGCATATAATAGATCATATATTTTTAGTATACATATAATGATTCAATATCATTTTTATGGGAAAAAAAAGACACTTTTGACTGCACAAATTTTCTGGAAATCCCAAGTAAAACACATATGAAATCATTTGTTTACAATCAGTGAACGTTAAAAATCAGCTACCTGTCACAATACAATAAAACAGCGACACAATTTCCTACAACAGCCAGCAGTTCCTCCTTTACATGAACAAGAATTTTTTTTTTTTTTAAATTTTTATTTGTCCTTTTTGAACAATGAAATGTCCTTCGATTTCATGCGATCAGGACGCTATAGAACTTATCCTTAAATAGAAAGCCAAAACTTGTACATTGGATTTCAAGTAAAATTCCGTGCATTACCAAATGATCAGCTTTTTAAAATTCTCTCTGCTTCAGTAATACAGCGAGAATTTACGCCTCCTCGAACAAAATCAAACATTTCGGAAGAGCTAAGCAACTCCATTTCTGAATGTACGAAGTCAGATCACAAATTAAAAATTCGATTTTTTCCTGCCATATTAATGTTTGAAAGCGCCACCTATAGGTGAATTGAATCGCGGATAATAAAATCGATCATGTTGTCCTTGCAAACCTTTATAAATGTTCCAAATTTTCTTAATAATTCTTAATAAGCTTATTATTTAGAAATGTGTTTATTGTTGTTTTAAATGAACAAAAGCATTAAAATATATCAATTTTAAAAATAACTGAAGTGTTCTTTTAATCATTTGCTTTTCTAATGTTGTTTTTGCTGTCACGCATATGACGTCATGCGCATATGGCCATGGACCTTATAAGAAATAGACTAACCCAAACGGGTTTTCTCCCTCGTCTGAGGCGTTGCCGGCTGTCACCTTGATCACATCCGGAGGAGTAGGGACGACTTGCAGAAATTTAACATTGGTTTCCTATTGCAGTGTGTATAATTGTCAAGAAAAAGCTGGTGTAGCGCCTCATTTCACAAATTAGAATTTCTACATAGTTTTATTTTTGAAATTGAGATTCATTTTTAAAAATTTAGCATATTTATCAAACATAAATCATGTTCCAAATAATTATAAAGCTATTGCATGCTTTCAGGACTGGATATTTTTTTAGCTTCTCCTATGCTGTAAGGAAATTTGTAACTACTTCTTTTAGAAAATACTATTTTAAATCTGAATTAATAGAAAATTTCAAACAAGCAATTTTCTCTTGCACTTTTTATGCTTTTTATTGGTGTAAATAAGTAAAAAAATACTAAAATATTTAAAAACGAATTTTTGAAAGTTGTGTTTTAAAATTCTAAATTGTGCTGCTTTTTTAAAATTATAGATGAATATTATAGCACAATTTCTATAAAGGAATTTTATTTCAATTATATTTCATAATACATCATACACTTTTGACTCCTTAAAAATGGTTATACATTTAATTCTAATATTAAAATTGTATTTAACCGTAATAATTAATTTTTGCTTGTATTTTATAGTGATTATTTTTTAAATTTATTTTTAGTTCTGCATAAGATTTTTTTTATTTACTGTTAATTTAATTTATTAGCCTAAAGGGCGGTAGTAGCCTAGAAAGGCTGCTTAGTTTCGAAGCGGCATTTTGCGCTGTTTTACTATAAATGTCCGTGTCTCCTTGCAAATTGTTGTTACCAAATATTATCGCCCTGTATTATATGTGAAGAAATCAAATAATGAAGAATCTGCACGAATACATGTATGTTTCTCGCACTGTGACAAAAACGACAGAATCTAGAGCCATAAAATTTTGAATAATGTAATCCTCCACCCGAACATAGGCACCTGGAAGGCCGAATTTCGAATTTGTTTCAATCTATTTCATATTTTGTAAAACTTTAACGAATTTTTGATTAACAAACTCAACGAGTTCAGAGCGAAGCACTGTACAGAAAATAACAGTTTTATCTCTAGTGCGGAAATTCTAAAGATATGCTGTTTTCAAATATATGTGGTTTACGGGCGAAGAACATGATTTTCAATAAATATAGGTAACACACAAAACTTTAAAAAAGTTGCTTCTAGATTTTATTTTATCTTTTTTTTTCCTTCATTACGCTCAGAAAATTTTATGCTCGGAATTTTATGAATTATTAAAATAACTAATCCACTTTAATGTTAATAATTTAATGATCATATAATCAAATAAATATGGTCGTTTTGTAATGTTATTATAGTTTAGAAAATCGCTGCCTGAAAATGGTCATTAAATTTTAAAAAAATTATCAGATCTTGTTTAATTTTACCTTATTTATTTCAAAGCATCGCGTAATCTTATTTAATTTTACTTTATTTTTACGCAAAATTAAGTCCATAATTTTTGTGCTTAATCATAGTTTTTACCGTTTTACCAATGTAAAGATGTTCGTACAAGAATTACGCGTGAAAAAATATGCGCGAAATACAGTAAAAAGTGCTTTAATGAGAGATATTAAATCCTATTTAGAAAAAACTGTGGCTTTCATAATCTCATCACTATACAGCGTATCACATTTAATAATTAAAAAGAGTTATATGATACAAACGCCATAGGTTTCAGTGTTAAAGTAAACCAGATCGTCCCTACTCTTTCTTGCCGACATGTCGGTGACGCACGACCCGCCCACTGGGTTAGTCTTGGGTCCATGCATGTGGCATTTTTATTCTTCCTGAACTCGCTTAGTTGATTGTGATTGGTCGCGGAAAAGGGAATTTCCCGTTTTTCGTTTCAAGCCAGCTGATGTGGAGTTAATTCTTCAACATTCGTTTATTATCAGGTAGTAAAACTGACGCCTATCAGGTAAGAAAAGTTACCTAAAATGCTTGTGATAACGCCGAAATTTGCGATTAAAATTGCTTTATATGTAAAATAACGCCGAAATTCCCGATTAAAATTACTTTATATATAAAATAACGCCTTTTTAATTGAGTTGTTGTAATTTTATTCAACTTTCAGAACTCTGCTGTTTCAACTACTCGGTCAGTAGACGTTTTTTTTTTTTTTTTTTCTTTGTGCATATTTTTTTTCTATTATTTGTATGTTTGTCAGTATGAATACATTAAACTTTTTCAAGCAGCCAAAATATATTATTATGATTATACCACTCATAATGGAAAGTTTTTCAGTCTAACAACGAAAAATATATTTTGTCAGCAGAGTGTTATTAAAATATGCTGTAGGCCTGAATATATTTTAAAAGGTTGATCATAGATTCATAATTCCCGTTTCAGGAACAAATCGGATAAAGTAAGGTTTCAGAATGTGACAGGTCTGTAACATGCAAAATTAGCACAAAAAAGTATGTTCGAAGTAAAAACCATTTTCATCCGTCGCAGAACAAATTTTTAAATTTTTAACGTTTTATGGTTGGGAACTTGAAACCTGTCTCAGCAAACATAAGGTTGTTGGCAAGATTTAGAGTATTACTCAGTCCTCTGTTGATAAGCCATGAATTTCATGACTGTTGTGGAACTTAGGTTTCAGTCTCATGGCAAATATTTTATAGCAGCTTCAATGAAATGAGTACGAAAGATACCTTAATGGGTCTAATTTTAGCTTGTTCAGGTGCACTGTTATCATACCTGTTTTAAACATTTTTAACAAAATGTTATCCTTAGTAATGGACCTCAAAGGCTTCTAACATGATTCATATGTAATATCAATGACACAGACATTTATATAATGCTTCAGTTAATAATAATGCTAAATTTGCAAACTGAATCTTTAGCAACAGATCAAAATGTATAAAAACTGATTCATGCTGAAATCGCGTATCTTCTCTGTCCTGCTGTCAGACTACAGAAATGTAAATTGGAGCAGTAGTGATCAAGAAGAGCACAAATTTCATCCGTTAAGTTCTATATATTTGTATCAGGAATTGTTTTGTCAAGAAATAAAAAGTGTTCAATTGGCCTGTTTCCTTATTATAAATTAAAAATATTTGCAAGTTAAAAACTGTAATTTGGAAAAAAAAATCAACTGCAACTATCTCCTTATGATTGACTTTTATCATCCACTTCTGTATTGTCATCAAAGATTGACTTTTATCATCCACTTCTGTATTGTCATCAAAATTAATTTCGTTAAGTATATGCAATAAAGGTTTATAATCAGGCAAGTTTGCCACTGTGGTGATGCTGAATTATCAAATGTGCAAGAAAAGGTGAGAAAAATAATTGCTTAACCTCTTAAGTGCTGCAGAAAACGTCCAAGATTCACTCCCCAGTGCCACCGTTTTTTTACACAGGCGTGCCTATTTATGCGATGTATTGGGGGAAAAATAAGTCCAAGTTTTTCTGCCTGAAACCTGTTTACTTTCACAAAATAAAGAATAAAAAAAAAATGAGAATGCAAAATTTAATGTTTAGAGTAAAAGTATAATAAAAAAAGATGTAAGTATAATAAAAACGATGTTTGTATAATGAAAAGATCCTCCAGAATGGAGCTTCGATCAATTTTTTTTAAACCATTAAAGTGTAATATCAGGTTTCAGTGTGTATCTAAATGGAAAGTGTAAAGGCAGCATAGGCAAGTTTTTCATACCAAGTCGTACCTAATTTCGAGCATCTTTCGGAGAATAGTTGTAATCCTCTTCATCTGACATAATATATTACGAGGTGTCCGATCCTGAAGATGATGGAAAGTAATCGTCTATTTCACTGTCGTACATATTCGTAAAAAAGGGCACCTACTACAAACAGTAAACGAAAAGGGAAAACACACAATAAAAAAAGTATGTTTTACTCGATCAGGAACACGACCAATAACTGGGCAGTCATTACTTTCACCGTTTCGGAAACATACCCTTGTCTACTGCTTCCTTTGAAATAGTATCCTCCTTTGCATATTCTGTGAAGGTCATTGTGGTATTGCATTCCAAAGCTTGGTGAATAATTTTACTGGTAGCAGCACGAAGCAAATGATAGGATGATGCAAGTGATTCGGAAGGACGTGTTATATATATATATACCTTGAGTAGTGCACATATATACACCTGCGGTAGTTAAGGGGTGAAATATAATTTAACTTGCTGTAAAGATACAAAACTTGGAGCTTTATATAGAGTAACTGGGTTAGTATATTTAATGATTGAAGGCAAATTAAAAGATAAATTATGCAATACATATTTCGGAATCTCTTCTATTATCGGGATCGGATTTAGAAATGTGTTTATATATGCATATACATACATATATACATTTCTGTATGTGGTCTGATAACAGAAGAGTACCCGTAATTCATTATTCTAAATTTTGATTTTCAGAAATTGAATATTAATTAAGGCTTTTCAGAGTCTGAATTTTCACTTTTTTGTCAATGAGCAAAATCTGAAAATTTTTTACTTCTATACTGCATATTGTTATTAGATTCTGTGAGTTTTTTACTTGAATTTTGAACTTTTTGGTAATGGCGTAGTTTGCAAAATACTAATTTTTAGTTGATTATTTATCTCTCAGTTCTCACCACTAAAATGTTATTTTTTAGTATGAAAATAAGTGCAAAGAATTGAGAATACATTAATTAAAATGTTTATTATTTTAATAACTAATGAATTTTTAATTCCATTAAATTTGAGTTCCTTCCAGTTTTATGAAACAAAAGTAGGTGGGCCCCTAAAAAAGGCTGTTTTTTTTAATGTAGCTTAACATTGCCAATGCAACGGAGTATGACCTTGTATCCTAATCAGCCCAGCATAGGCATTCTTTACTCATGATAATTATAAAAAACTAAAAGCGATAGATTGCGTACAACAATATAAAGTCCGGAATGATCTATAATCCGAACCTCAGAACCACAAACTTATGCATGCACATAAAGCCAGTAAAGTGTTGACACATGCGCACTTCCGATAGTGAAGAAAGTGACAGAGAATGAAAATGAAATGTTATTGAATGTTATCGTTATTGAAAACGAAAACATTTCGACTGACAAGTTAGTCGGTATTCTTGACACAGCAATTACAGGATTTTAACTTTGTAACTGATCAAGAAATTATGTCTGTTTATAGAAGAGAGAATTAAAGAGAAAGTATTAGCACAAAAAACGAAGCAACTTAAACAACGGTTAATCTTTGGATTATGGTAACTTGGCGATTTTTTGGCGAAAATTTGGCGACCAACGCTGGTACAGCAACCTGCTAGTTTTGTTTTGGACGCCAGTTTGTTATCATGGAGTAAAGGCATTTTTTTTTTTTTTTAACTCAACATTTTTTTCCAACAATCTGCTAGCCGAATTACGCTTATGCTAGAACTTATATGGAACAAAAGTGCTTAATCATGACGAATATTAAGTGCGAAATTGGGAGAAAGTGCAGAATCACCCACTGCTTGCCGCGTTTTTAAGAATTGCACATACACGGTATCATCCATGTACACGTCGACCTATTTTCACTTTAAAAAGAATCCCAGAATTGCACAAAAATGGCATTGTGCACACTCTTGACTTTATCCATGTACACTGCTAAAGTCCTAGCTAGTAACATTTATCGTGTTACCAAAATGTCGCCAAACTACCTGTTACCATATTCCAAAAATTAGCCTAAACAACTTGCAATGAAAGAAATGTTAATAAAGTAAACAAATAAATATTAAGCTTTTTCTTTTTGTAAATTTTGATACCCTTTAGATCATTTTGATACCCTTTTCCCGTATAATTCTAAAACTAGGCTAAATTTAAATTTACAAGTTTTCTTACAACTCATAATTGAATTAATGGAAAAGAATATCATATATATTTCCAAATGTCCTAATTTATATATTATATTTACAGAACTTCTGACAAATTTTTCATTTGTGGAATACATTCTACATAATGGGAGGTAAGTAAGTATCTTTTGAAAGATTTTTTTTTTTTAATATTCTTCATAAATTTGTTTAATTGCTATATTTAAAGTGATAATAATTACTACAGTCAAAAGTCGTTAATTCAGACATCCATAATCTGGACCTCAAAGCTACAAACTTTCTGCGCATGCGTCAACGCATAATGCGTTCACGCATGCGCATAGGCATTTACGCAGGCGCGTAATACTTTTATGCATGCCCGTATGCGCATGCGCATAATATGTTTAATAAAGTAAACAAATAAATATTAAGCTTTTTTTTGTATTACAGTTTCATATTTTTAATTTTATAATTTCTGCATGCCATCTTACCTATTTAAACTGATGATGTATAATCCGGAAAAATCGCTAAACCGGAATCGCCGAAGTCCCGATGAGTCCGGATTAAAGACTTTTGACTGTATTTATGCAGAGTATGATTTTATTGATCATAAAAAAAAAAACAGGTTTTTTATGGATCTGGTTATTTCATTTAAATTAGTAATATTAACGAGTAATATTTAAATTAGTAATATTTGGGTATTATTAGTTTTTTCTGCTCATTGTAAGTCTGTTTTAAGTTATGAATTTAGGATTTTTCTTAATAGCCTAAACACAATTTCTTAATCACACAACCTTTAATGAACTGCAAATTATAAATATTGCTTCCTTTTTGCTTCATGCATTGATTTCTGTAATATGGTAGTTGCCTCTTCAACACTTAGGAAATTATTTGCTCCTAAAAAAGAGGACCCATGTCAGATTGCTCTTGAAATCAATAGTTTTTTAATATCTACAGCAATCTAAGGTCGCTTTTTTTGCATAATTTTAAATTAATACCTGTAAATCCTTTCAAACTGCTGTTTCTTTTAACATTCGTTAGTAAATATGTCATTTTTTTTAACTAATAAGTAATAATCTGAATTTATTATTAATCTCTGTTGTTTCTTTTAACATCTGTTATGTCATTTTGTTTAAATAATATTGTTGCGTGCGTACGGGTTCGTTATGAAATGAATGCACAAGTCCGATGAAAAATGAACAAAAATTTATTATTATCACAACAAAAATGCTTAAATTTTCTCAAATTATCATGCAGTATTACAATATCTCACAGTAGTTATCTTTTAACTACTCAAATGTCCAATAGAATGTAATTCAAAAACAGCTAAAAAAGGTTATCCGCGAATTCGCTACAATCAACAAGAGCAGTTTTCTAAACAACAACAAACTAAGCAACTAACTACGAACTGAGATGTTTTCCTCCTTTCATAAGATTTTAAAAATCATGCGCTAGAATTTTCCAGTACTTTCTCGAAATCAAAAAAGAGATATTTATTTATTTAATGAACGCGTTCTTGTATTTTCAATTTTCCGGCTTAGCTTTCTTTTAATATTTGTCACGCGCTGCACTGTGCAAGAAATAAAACCATTTCATTTATAATTGAACTAATATTAGTTTTTTAAATACCAAATTCGTAACAATATGCAATAACCTGAATTTATTATTAGTCTTCAAAACTTTAGTACAGTCAAAAGTCGTTAATTCGGACACCCATAATTCGGAATGATCTATAATCCGGACATCAAAACTAAAAACTTTCTGCGCATGCGCCGCGTTGACACATGCGCAGAGGCGTTCACGCGTGCGCGTAAGACCTTTTACGACTGCGCATATGAGTGTGCGCAAGTGCAGAATACGTTTTCGTCGCGTGCGCATTTTATGTATATGGACGTATAAGCTAAATAAATTATCTATTTCAGTTAATGTTGATGATTGCGTTGTTCCTTAATTTTCGAATTGCATCCATCCGGCTTATTATTTTTTTTTGCAGACTTTAAGAGCAATTTTATAAAAGTAAGCTTAAAACTTTTCGATTATATCAAATAGAATTTCCGATATATATTTGTTAATATGTAAAGGATCTAAAGCGAAAGTATGTTTTGAAATCCGAAATCTGTTTATCATTTTGACGCTGCTCGGCGGCGGGCGCGTAATGAATTGGAAGTTGATTTGTCAGCACTATCCTTATCTTCAGCGCAGATGTTTTTATTTTATTTGGCTTGTAATTCCTTACCAAATGTAGTATTTCATCTCGATATGTTCCGTCTTTGATATGATTTAAAACAAGTTCCTCGTCATTATAATTCGCTTCCGATAGCGAAGAAAGTGACAGAGGTTATTGAAAAAAAAAATTTCGATTGACAAATTAGTCGGTGTTCTTGACACAGCAATTATAGGACTTGAACGGCGGAACTTTGTAACTGAACAAGAAATTATGTCTGTTTAATAGAATTAAAGAGAAAGTATTATCACATGAAACGAAGCAAAACTTAAACAACTTACATTGAAAGAAATGTTTAATAAAGTAAACAAATAAATATTAAGCTTTTTCTTTTTGCAAATTTTGATACCCTTTAGATCATAATTGTTCTTTATTTCATAAATTACGGTTTCATATTTTTAATTTTGGAATTTTAATTTCTGCATGCATGCCATCTTACGAGATTTAAACTGATGATCTATAATCCGGAAAAATCGATAATCCGGAATCGCCGAAGTCCCGACGAGTCCGGATTAACGACTTTTGACTGTATATGCTAAAAATGTTTTGAAGGGTTCTTATTTACCAGAAAAAGCATAGAAAGTCATAAAAAATATTAACTTCTTCTTTTTTTTTTTTTTTTTTTTTTTTTTTTTTTTTTTTTTTTTTTTTTTTTTTTTTTTTTTTTTTTTTTTTTTGTTTTTTTTTGTTTTTTTTTTTTTTTTTTTTTTTTTTTTTTTTTTTTTTTTTTTTTTTTTTTTTTTTTTTTTTTTTTTTTTTTTTTTTTTTTTTTCAGAATATCAGAGCATTGTTCCCACTAACTTAGAAAATCTTGTAAAAGACAAGGAAATGCAAAATGTTTACAGAAAATTAGGGAATCTATTTTTTTCTGTTAAAGTGAGGTAAAACTGGGATTTTTTTCTCAAGATATCAGAGAAGTTAAATAATTATAGATTGAGAGTATTGAATAATTGTATAAAGCACACTAAACAAAAATTCTCATTTTTTTCTCTTCTTTTTTTTTTTTAAAGGACTGTAATCTTTGCCATGCAAGATGTTTTACCACCTCATATATAATAAAATTCTATCAATGTAATATTTTTCTTGAGACCTTAGTGAATTGTTCTCTCTTATGTTCAAAAATGTAACTGTTATGCTACTGCAAAAGTGTATAAATAACCCTTCATAAATAAGTAGTGTATTTTAAAAATCTTTATAGAGTTTGGTTGTATGTTGTAATGAATAACTCTTGTTAACTAAAGTTTTTTAATTCCAGAATAATTCCAAGTTCTTCTGTATCATTTTGAAATGAAAAAGATTATTATTTATAATGAATTATGCATTATTATGCATACATTGCAGTAGGGTGTAGTGAAAAAGGAAAAAAAAAATTAAAATTTTATAATTTCTTGATACAAAAAATGGTTTTGTTTGATGGGGGAAAAAACATAAAAAAATGTTCATCTTAGTTGCTTGTCATCTTCAGGTTCCACATGAGGTAACCAACAACAACAAAAAAATATCAATGTTAATGTTATTGAAAATATCAAACTATTTTTTAGCAATATTTTTAATGATTTTTTTTTACAATATTGTTTCTTGACACAACATATGTTCGTAATTGATATAAAAATGCCATTACAAAGTTTTAGCTTAATGGCTCCTCATCTTCAGGTTCCACAAGAGAACCGCAGAAATTAGTCTATGTGTCAAACTTGTAAGTTCTTTCTGGGACTTAAGTTGACTGCATATGAATTTATCCTTGGCTTCTGCATCACATGCCAATGACACTTTTGTCACCAGTCTCGCATGCCTTTCTGCAACTTGAGCATGATAAGGGAGCTTTTTATTTCAAACTGAGAACCGCCTCTATCAATCTTATGTCTTCATCACTGAGGTTGGTCAATACTGAGGTCTTTTTTATGAATTTCACATAGATCAACTGGAATAGGGACATCACCTATCAAAGAAAGTGATTCAGATGTTTTCAGGGATTTTCCTATTGTTCCAGAAAACTGTAAGGATACAGATGTATTTTCATCAATCTTCTGGAAAAGATGATGAAGAGGCAGTTCATTTGTGTGCAACAAGCATACTATTCAATGCAGGTTATGACCAATAAAGATCTCAAAAATATGCTGTTCTAGTTGATCCCATCTTAATCCAACATAAACAATGAATGATAAGCAGTACTGACAAAGCACACCAAACAACTAACTAAATAAATGATAAAAAGTCATTGAAAGATCATGGAAGCCATATGATTGCTTACCTCAAGCTAGAGCCAATAGTCTGATTAGAACTCTTTCTGGAATCCAGAAGCATAGTTTTTGCATTAAATTTTGACATTTTTGTGTGTAAAGCAATTTCTCACACTAATAATGGCGTTTTTGACAAAGAAATTCACAAAAAAAAGCCAAAAAAAATGTTAAAAAAGTCAGTAAAGATAGTCAAATACCGAAAATCTGCCAACTCCTGAAATTCTCATTGCCTCTCAAAATATAAACATTCGGTTTATAGGTTCCAGAAACCACAACATTGAGTATGAAATATCGAAGAAAAAATACTTACTGAATAATGACGTCATGATTACCGAATAATGAAGAATCATAACGGAAATACCAAATTGTTGACATCATGATAAAAGTTTTTCCCTTCTAATCTGCATCGAAGTAAGAAAGCAGACGATTCACTCAACTCTTCTTTCAAGTTCACGATTCACGTTGTTGTATTTTCCGAGCTTTGTTATTTCACGAGATTATTTAGTGCTGCCTTTTTTTTAATCCGGGTATTTTGTGGATAAATTAAGAATATTTTAAATTTCAGCCTTTTTTAACCCCTTTGCACCGGGTAGCTCAAACGTGCGCTTATCGCGGAGGCAGGCAGTGTCTTACGCGAGCGTCTGTCCAGGGCCAGAGGCTTTTTTGCTATTAAGCCTAAATCCATGAAATT